CCTGGGAGGTGTGGCAGAAACCAGTGAACCTAGGGTCCTTTGTGGAAGCCCTGGGTAGATCTGAGTTGAGCATGCTCCATTTATTCTTCCCAAATTTACTGCTCAGATGAGTCATCCTTCCTTTCCTGAGGTAAAGTGATTAACAGGTAGAGAGAGACCAGAATATTTAGAGAAAACCCTTCTCCTAGAAGCCAGACAGAGGGGAAAGGTGTTTCCGTCTAATGCAGTGGTTGAGCACTGGGCTGCGAAGCTGCCCACAGCTTTTGCAGTGCCGGTTTGATCCCCGGCCACCAGCGAGGGTCCCACATGGTGCGACAGACCTCTCCTGCCGCGCCCACTACTCCCCTCAGCAGTGTATTTCGTCAGTCTGCCTGTTCTGCTCCCCACTCTGGCTCTGGTGAATTCTCTCACCCTCCCACACTTCTGACTGTACGCAGTGCTTGTATAAATAAATAAATAAATAAATCTTTTTTTCTAAAAAGCCCTCTAATAATGGAAAGACCAATAAGTATAACAAAGAAAATACATATCTGTCATACGCTCACTCCCTAAAGGTACCCACTGTTCTCATTTTGGTGTCTATCCTTTAACACTAGGTGATATGTAGGTAAATTTTAAGCAAAAATGGAATCATGCATATGTATATAGTATGATAATTTTCAAAATTAACCAGATATTGGTAGATTAGTTCTGGACTGCTCCATAATTTGAGTAGAGGAGACATGTTTTGTGGAGCTGCCCACCTCAGATGTTATCCTCTGAAAGTTTTCTCTGATCTCACAGCTGAACTTACAGCAACTGCCTCTGTACTCCCTTACTCTACCTTCTCTGGCTATAGTTAGCTAATCTGGGGGTGCACAACTGGCCCAAATTGAACTGGTCAGATTTTTTTTCTCCCTAGAATTTTTAATTGAAAGACAGAAATTGGGATTCACTGTAGCCAAGTTACATGAAATCCATGAACCACAGCTGAGGTCTCCAAAACTGCTTGGGTTCCTGTTCCTCTTGAGATTTGCAAAACTCTTCTGGCTTGTTGTTGCTGTTATTTTACCTTGGATTAAAAATGAAGCTGAAAGATGAATAGGCAGAGTACAGAGGATTTCTAAGGCAACAAAACTACTCTATATGATACTAAGTGGTAAATGCATGTCTCTATACATTTGTCCAAGCCCAAAGAATATACAACAGCAGTAGGGAAACCTAAGACAAACTGGGCTTTGAGTGATAATGCTGTGTCAATATAGGTCCAGTAGTTCTAACAAATGTACCATGTAGGTAGGTGATGTTGAGAGTAGGGGGACTGTGTGTATGAGCTGGGGTAGGGAATCTCTGTAGCTTCCTCTCAGTTTTTGCTATTCATAAAAAACAAAAGGCCTTTAAAAAGAATGACCAACAAATTTGTTAGTAACTTACAAATATGAATCTCCCTTAGTGCAAACCTTAGAAACTTTCTCAAAGAATGTTTCTAAGTAGCCTATTGTGGAAAATGAAGTTAATTGTCAACATTGAAGTTAAATTTCAAAATTAAAATCATTTTATTGCCGGTACATGGATATGGCAAGAGTTCAGGAGGAAAGAGAAGTTTACGACACGTTTTCAAGGATTTTTTTTTTAAAGATTTATTTATTTATATAAGCACTGGGTACAGTCAGAAGTACGGGAGGGTGAGAGAATTCATCAGAGACAGAGTGGGGAACAGAACAGGCAGACTGACTGAAGTACACTGCTGAGGGGAGCAGTGGGCGCAGTAGGAGAAGTCTGTGGAACCATGTGGGACTCTCTCCGGTGGCCGGGGAACGAACCAGCACTGCAGAGGCTGCGGGCAGCTTCACAGCCCAGCGCTCAACCGCTGCACCACCAGGGGAGGCCCTCAAGGATGATTTTTTTTTTTTTTTTTTTTTTTTTTTATAGAGGCATGTTTTATTTATTTATTTTGTTTGTTTGTTTGTTTTGTTTATACATGCACTGGGTACAGTCAGAAGCGCGGGAGGGTGAGAGAATTCACCAGAGCCAGAGCGGGGAGCAGAGCAGGCAGAAGGACCGAAGTACACTGCTGGGGGGAGCAGCGGGCGGCAGGAGAGGTCTGCGCGCCATGTGGGATCCTCCGCCGGTGGCCGGGGAGCAGCCGGGGATCGAACCGGCGCCGCAGAGGCCGCGGGCAGCTTAGCAACCCAGCGCTCAACCGCTGCACCACCAGGGGAGGCCCTCAAGGATGATTTTTAAATAGGACTTGTCTTCTAAATGTTTTCCATTGAAGATGCTTGTTCAGCCCAGTGATTCTCAGTGAATCTCATCAACAGTACACTCCCTAGTATGCACTCTACAAAGTTGTGAGGGTATTTTGATTGCCACAGCAACAGGGAATGATACTGCCTTGATGGCCTACAATGTACGAGACATTCCAGCTCAGGGAAGGTTTATCCTGCATCCCTCCTGACTTTTGAGTATCCTTCTAGGCTAACCTGCCTATAGATGTAAATTAATAGTTTTGTAGTATATATTAATATTAAAAATCTTCATCAGAAATTAAACAAAAACCTTATTAATCTAGAAGATTGTTAGCTTACTATTGGCCGCATAACAAAACAAGCTTAGCAGCTTGCAACAACACTCATATATTAGCTCACAGCTCTGTAAGTCAGAGATGGGTTTGGCTGAATTCTCTGCACAGGCTCTCACAAGACTGAAATTAAGGTGTCAGCCAGACTGGTTCTTATCTAGGGACTCGGGGAAGAATCTGCTTCTAAGCTCCTTCAGCTTGTTGGCACATTTCAGTATCTTCTGCTTGTAGGCCTGAAGTCCCCATTCCCTTACTGACTGTCAGCTAAAGGTCACTCTGCTCTAAGAGGTTGGTATTTAGTCCTTGCACATGGTCCCCTCTCTCTTGGAAGCAAACAAGACCATGTTGTATCCTTTTTATGACTATCTCTGACTTCCCCTTCTGCCATGAGCACAAAAAAGCTTTAAAGGAACAGATAATTTCTGTACCTTAAAATCAGTTGACTTGGGAATTTAATTGCATTTGCAAATCCCTACATTGCAGTACCTAAATTAGTATTTGATTGGATAACCAAGGAACAGGAATCTTGGGAAATCATCTTTAAAATTCTGTCTACTACAATTTGTATGGAGAGGGAAGCTAAGTGAAATGAAGACAGTCTCAAAATAATTGAATAATTTGTTCCTTCTGCACATTCTGTCCTGTATTATAACATTTCCAGCTTGCATATTTAGTTGAAAAGAATTTAAGTGCAATGTTATTACTGCAAAAACAGTGAAACTGATTGAAAATATGTAACAGGAGATTTGAGATTCCTATTCAGACTTCAATTATTAAATTAGTAGAGATATGTGAAATGCAGATATCTCCATGGATTTCTTTAATATGCACTATTTTAGTACTTTCTTATTATTGCCCCCTTTTGGGAGTCAGGATAGTTCTTCAATTTTATCCTAAAATGGTCCTCAGTTCTTTACACAACTGCTTCACTTGCATCACACAACTGCCTCTTGCATTAATTTTTTTCTTGTGTGATCCATTTGTATTCCTTGTCAGACCATTCAAGTAATATGGTCTCCAAGGTTTTTTTTTTTTTTTTTTTTAACAGATTAGACCTTCATGATATATGTCAACATGATTTCAAGGCAGAAGGATAAGTTTTTTTGTGACAGTTTCTTCTTACCTCACCTATTATATAACTAAGGGTGTTATTTTGACACCACACTTAGAAATAAATAAGTCATAGCTCATTTGAGATTATAATGTATTTCCTCATTTTCTGTACTTTGTTATTTACCTTAGGTATTATTCCAACTTCAGTTAAGATTACTTTTCTAGGCCTCCCCTGGTGGCGCAGGCGGTTGAACAAGGTGCTATGAAGCTGTCTGCAGCCTCTGCTGCGCCGGTTCAATCCTGGTCTGCTGGCGAGGGTCCCACATGGTGTGGCAGACCTCTCCTGTCTTGCCCGCTGCTCCCCTCAGCAGTGTATTTCCTCAGTCTGCCTGTTCTGTTCCCCACTCTGTCTTTGGTGAATCCTCTCACCCTCCTGCGCATCTGGCCTGTACCCCGGTTCTTGTATAAATAAATAAATAAATAAAATAACTAACTAACTAACTAAATAAATAAATCTTTTAAAAAAATAAAGATTACTTTCCTATTTTCCGGTAAGTCTTAGTACTATTTTCTTAAATTCTAGTATTGGTGTAGTATTGATCTGTACATCTGTTTTATTTTTCTACACTTGTCCCAAGTGATTTCTGATATTCTCATTTTTAAATCCAAACTTAACACAAGTTGGTACGTTCATTTGGCTGCTTCGTTTTGTCATTATGTCTCCAAACATATACTGAAATACATAGTTTTTAAAAAAATTAATTTCATTTGTTTCTTCTTTATGTATCAGCTACGACATTGGTTTTTTTGAAAATTTTGTGTAGATAAGTTATAGCATCCTTGAATTATTTCAGGATAGTAAAGGAGGCATTATAAAATATATGTGATTAAAAAAGGAAGGTTGGGTCTAATAGGACTAAAACCTATTGTGCTATCACACAAAAAGAAAGTGGTAGCCCCTAAGTACTATGTGTCCTTGCCTGCATGTCCTTCTGTTCATCAAAGCTCTTCTGACCCGATGCTCCAGTCTGACAGTTCTATCCTATAGAACATGGGACATGGGAGATGATGTGTACTTGCTCTCTTCAAGTTTATGCGTTTTATATATATAATTGAGGTCCTCCAGATCCGATAGGCTACTGGGTATAATTTACTCCTTAGGAAATCTTCCACAGACACACAAACTGAAAGTGAGCAAAAACAACAAACAAAAATTTGCATTTTGTTAAATAACATGTAGCCAAGTTTAAAAATGGAATTTTTGCTTTTCAAATCCAAACTACTGGCAGCCACAACTTTATTATTACTCAAAGGCTTGTTTATATGAAATAAAACTGTATGTTATTGATATTTACTAATTCTCTTCCCCCCTCTTTTTCCCCTCTAGATTTTGCATTGTGCAATAGGTAAGTATGGAATTTCCCCTACCCCACTATGTACAATGGATTGTTTGCTTTTTAAGTTATAAACGATAGGATGATTTGATTGAATATTGAAAAAATTAAACTATAATCATATATAAAATTTCTTAAATTGGTATGACTTTCTAAAATCATAGGTACTATTTAGATTATTCAATGTTTATTAAACACAGCTATTTTGTTATGTCGATTCAAAGAGGCCTCTCCTGCCTTGTTACAGGAATAACAAAGAAACATTGACTTATTTATAAAAATGTGATGTGGGGTCCTGGTACTGGGCTATCGAAAACCCTCTATAAGATCATTTAAGTGTTATATTCACTTTTCTTATGTTTAAAATGAGAAAACTGCATGTATTACCAACTCCTGAGATGAAAATTTTATATATAAATATATATGAGAGGGATTGGAAAAGAATACCTTTAAAGGGTTATACAAATGTAAGGAATTTCTACTAAAAGCTGATGTCATTTTTCCTTTGCGGGGGGAGAAGAGGTGTCATCAGATCCTGCTCTGAAACTGAGACATAGCTTCTAGCCTGGGTGGGTTATACCCCTCCAACTAAATAGAAATCCATTTTGGAAAGTTGCCAGAGTAAGCCCACCGTGGTTACTCTGCATCCGGACTTATCTCTCAAAGGGAAGATTTGAAATTGACGCTCATTGAGGGGCACGGAAGGTCTGAAAACTTGAGAAACATGCATCGAACCATTATGGTCCTAATCAACTTCATTTATAAATTATGGGGGCACTTACTATATTCAGAGTCCTGTGCTTAGCACTAGGGAAGAGTACGTTTACATTCAGGTAGTCACACTGCAGGCTCACCACCATAGGTCTCACAGTGGTCGTTATGATCCCTGGCTCCATTACTTAAGGAAAAGCATCTTCATTATAAAGAGTTGCACCTTAGCTATTGGCTACTAGGAAGGAGATCTGCAATGAAGGATTTCCATGTGATTTGCAGAACTTTCTGTGTTTATTTTGCTGGGAGTTGTTGGATAGGATAAATAGCTTTCATTAGCTTCTTAGAGAAGTGTGTGATTCCCTGAAAGGTTAAGAAACACTGCTTTAGAACCTTGGAGCAATAGATTTGAATTGGGGGGTTGGGGCTTCCTCTGTCACATGGTCTGGTTTACCAGAGAAGGTTAAGGGACCCAGCACAGGTCACACAGGCCAGTCAGAGACAGAGCTTGCCTGATTTTATTTTATTTTATGGTGATTTGGTTTTGGCTAGTATTTAATCTCACACCCATTCCTTTTTAATCCATCATCACTGAAATGGTTAAATAAATTTTAAGCATAAGCTTGTAGATTGGGGATACATTTGGTCAGAGAGAGTAGTGTGATCACTTCAGGTCTTCTCCACATGATTAGACCCTGCGCCCTCATTCTCCCCACTCTGCTTACCTTCAGCTCACTCTCAAAGAGAGGATTTAGATGCATTTGTTTTCTAAGCATGTGTATTATTATTTTCTTCAATATTTCACTGTATTTTAACACCAAATTTTTCCTTATTTGTCTTAGAATATATTCTCATGCTTCTTTATGAAATTTCTACATCTGGAAATAAAGTTTCTAGCAAGTATATTTATGAATTCATACCAGAACATTATCAAATACCTAGCAGGTGGGATCAAGGTAGGCATTGGGAAGTAGGAGTAGAGGTGGACAGGCACAGGCGCCAGCTCAGGGAAGCACACAAGTGCCTGGCTGAGACACTCCAGGACTAGCATCCTGGTGGCGTTGTGTTCTGATGGTGTGTTGACAGGTATCAGGACCTTGGTTCTAGCTATGGATACTTTAAAATTCCTAATTTGTTGAAGAACCTTGTTCTGTCAGTGATTTGCTCTTCTACATCATCACCCTTTTTCTCTGTCTTTTCCATCTCAATTCACTAAATGCTTAGATTTCTAACTCCTACTGGGCCTCTCTGGTGGCCTCTCAGCACTATCATAGCTACTGCCTGAGTTTGATTCCCAGCCAGAGAGCTAACCCACATATGGTGCAGCAGACCTCTCCTGTCTCACCCACTGCTCCCCTCAGCAGTGTATTTCAATAAAATCCACTTGTTCTGCTCCCCACTCTGTCTCTGGCGAATCCTTTCGTTCCCTATACATTTGGCCTATACCCCGGTTCTTCTAAACATGTATACATAAATAAATTAAAAATAAAAAAGAATTACAAATCCTGAAACTAACCTTTGACTCTCTATTCCCCCATATGCTATGTAATTCCTCTCCATCCTTTTTACCAGATTTATTGTAGGCTATGTACTTCCTCGTTCTCATTTATACCTTAACCCAGAAGTCAAGCTTCAGTCCCCCTTGTCCTACTAAAATTGCCCTCTGGTCTAAAATCAGCAATATCATTGCTCTTTTGACTAAACATGCCCTCTGTGGGCGAGCTCATCTCATAGTCCGAGATACGTAGGCAAGTGGGAGACACCAATTTTTCTAACTTCAGGTCATACCTGTACCCCAGACACAACTCGTCCATTGACCTTCTGAATATCTATTCCCAGAGGCACATCTCCTGCTCAGCATGACTCACACTCCTAAACTTGTGCTGTCTCCTCTATTCTTTTAGGGACTGGTACATGGGGGCGGCGGTGGGGGGAGGGCGGACCAACCACAAGCATATCAGACGCCTAAACTTGCTTTGCTTACAATATTCTCTTTGTCAAAGAAACTACCAGCCACTAGCTATTCACTCCCTCAGCATAGATCTAGTGCTCATCCGCGGTGCCTCCTATACCCATACTCCCATAGCCAGGTGGTCATCAAGCTTTAGCAATCCTGATTGCTGAATATTTCTCATATTGTCCTATTTTTTCATCCCTGTTCAGGGGGCCTCGATTTGTCTCTTATTGACTTCTGGGTCTCCCTGAACATCTAGACTTATGACAACAATAAGAGCTACCATTTATTAAATATTTACTGTGGTCTAGAGCTTTACATTTATTACCTCATTTCCATTCCATTTTACAGTTGATAATACTGAGGCTTAGTAGGCACTACTTAGTACTTAAGACCTAGGGCTCCGAGTTGAACCTATGGCGGTGTGATTCCAAGTTCATGCCTCACACAGTCCTAAAGGGGTGTAGTTTTTTAAAGGATGACTCGATCATGTCACTTCCCGGCTTAAAACTCTTGACTTGGGCATCCCTAGTGGCACAGGGGTTAAAGTCTCAGCACTATGAAGCTATCGTCAGCCACTGCAGCTCCTGCTAGGGAGCTGACCCTCATGGCGCAGCAGACCTCTTCTGTCTCACCGGCTGCTCCCTTCAGCAGTGTATTTCAGTAGAGCCACCTGTTCTTTTCCCCAGTCTGTCTCTGGTGAATCCTCTCACCACTACCCCCCTCCCCACCTCTGGCCTACACCCCAGTCCTTGTATGCATAAGTAAATAAATCTTAAAAAAAAAAAAACAAAAACACCTCTTGACTAGTTTAAACTTCTTCATGATTTGTCCATCTCCCCTGTCCTCCCTTTTCCCATTGCTGTGGGTCCCCACATGTACATGCTACTGCGTTTTTCTCACTTCAATTCTGTGCCCAGGCTTGGTGCTCTGCCTGGGACAAGCAACCCATGCCCTTCAACTGAAGCTCCTCTTGACTCTTCAGTAAACTTCCCCACTTCCCATGGACTAGATTAAGTACCTTTCCTCACTTTTCCATAATACCTATACCTCACTCTGTTGTTATGCTTTTCCCACTGTATTATGCTCTGTCGCTGTACCTGTGTCCCCCACCAACACCCCTGAATTTTTTCTGAATGAGAATTATTTCTTTTGAAAAAATTCTTTGTTTATTTTTAAAACATCCTTATTTATTTTTCACAGTATAGGATTTCTCCCCTCAGGTGTGGTCACCATAGTTTTCACACCACCAAAGTGCCCATCATTCTCCACCACACTCCTTCCACACTGTTCTCTACTCTCACCTTCTCCCTCTCCTCCGCCTCCTGAATGTCTCTGATCTAAGGTCTGCTTGCAAGGGTTAGTCTTACAGTTTGTCATTGTCTGATCCTTTGTTTGGTTTCTCTAGATTCCACATATAAGTGAAACCATCTGGTATTTATCTTTCTTCTTCTGGCTCCCTTTGCTTAGAATAATCCCTTCCAGTTCCATCCATGTTCTCGAAAATGGCCTAAGTTTATCTTTTTTGATCGCTGAGTAGTATTCCATTGTGTGTATATACCACATTTTTTTTTTAATTTATTTTTGCTTTTTTTTTTTTAAGATTTATTTATTTATTTATTTATACAAGCACTGGGTACAGTCAGAAGCGCGGGAGGCTGAGAGAATTCACCAGAGCCAGAGTGGGGAGCAGAGCAGGCAGAAGGACCGAAGTACACTGCTGAGGGGAGCAGCGGGCGTGGCAGGAGAGGTCTGCGCACCATGTGAGACCCTCACCCGGCAGCCGGGGATCAAACCGGCGCTGCAGAGGCTGCTTGCAGCTTCGCAGCCCAGCGCTCAACTGCTGCGCCACCGGGGGAGGCCCTATACCACATCGTCTTGATCCACTCATTGTTCTGGGGCATTTAGGTTGTTTCCATATCTTGGCTATTGTAAATAGTGCTCCTATAAGCATAGGAGAGCAGGTTTCCTTTAGAACTTGTATTTTGTGCTCTTTGGATAGAGACCTTTGAGTGGAAATGCTGGGTCTTATAGTAAATTCATCTTTAGTATTTTGAGGAAACTCCACACTTCTTTCTGTATAGGCTGGTCCAGTGTGCACTCTCACAAACAGTGTAATTGGGTTCTTTTTCTCCACACCTTCACCAGCACTCATTTATTGTTGAGAATTCTTTCTTACTGATACCTGTATCCCAGCACATGGTACCTCGTGGGAGCTCAGTGAACATTTGATCATTCTTAATTCTGGTGAAATTTTCTAAAATTTGTTTCAGAACATTTTCATGTCCTTACATTAATTCTTACAAAATAAAATGATAATAATAGTAATCAGACTCTTTCTAGCATT